AGTTTATAAAAAAAAAAAAAAAAAAAAAAAAAAGGAACTGTCTTAAAAATGAGTGTGTTGCTTAAAATTGCACTTTGGTGTTGAATCCTCACGATAGACAAAAGCGAGGTAGATCTTGAAGAGAAGAACTTACCCCTTTCTCAAAAAGGAAGTTTCCCTCAAGTGTCTATCAACGCCTTCTCGCCTCCACCATCAGCTCATATATATTGACTGTTTTTCCCCTCGTTCCTCTCTCTCGTGGTCTCAGAGTTTTACTTTAATGTGGGTTTGGGAGTCAAGGTATTGCTTATTGAAGATGCTAGGGCCTGAAAGTTAAAGCAGCCTTTTCTCACAGAAAGGTCAGTTCATACGCAGTAGCTGTAGTCAGACAGGAACAAAGGAAAAAACAGGAGATGAATATATTTTCTTGAAGAAAATGCACTGTATCCTAGTGAAAAATAAACACTGACAGATCACTACCTGCCAAAACATGACAGTACCCCCAAACCTTCCTACACCGTTTAGTTTTTGAGATCTAATTCATAGTTAGTACAGATTTAAAATTGGAACATTTAAGTATAACACAGTCCTTATGGTGTACAACAATCAGGTTCTTAGGTTTTATGAAGCATTCTCTTTAAGAAACATATGCCATAATAGAGTTTAAGATAATTTTATGGGTGTTATGGACCCCATAAGACATTGGAGAAAATGAAGCCATGAAAGCCATGAGATGCTACCCCATCTGTGAGTTACTAGCCACTGCAGTGTCATGGACTTCCTTTCCGTTTTTGTTCAATAAACTTTGGTAGTTTGTTTTCCCTCCATACAGCTCCGCTTCAAGCATCTATTTATTGAAATCACGGTGGGAAAATATCTCATGGAACCCCAGTTCTGTGTGGGGCAGTGTCTTCTGGAATGAGCACTGTCTAGAAGATTTATCTTGCTAGGCCATAGAAAATCTCAGCCCATCCCTACAGCATCCCTCCAGAGTGGATGCTATTTCCATATTATTTTAGAAGGGGAGAAACTGAGGCACAGGGTCATGGCAGATGCTCGCATGCCCTGGCTGGTGGAGATGGAGCCAGGATTAGGGCCTCGGCTCTGTGATTCCAAAGCCTGCATTCCTAACCGTGCTCCTGTCTTGCCTGCTTTATGAGCGGCCTTTTAGTGTTTGTTCCCTTCCCTCTGTGGTGGTTGACCTTTGGGGGCCTCAAGGTCTCGTAGAGAGCCAGGCTCACCCAGGCCTACTTGTACCACTCAGCTGTGTAACGAAGACCTGGCCGAGCTCCAGCTCCAGCCTCAGCCTGGCCCATGAGCTGCCACCACACGACCTTCTCCAGACCTCCCTAATCACAACCACTCCAGCATGTTGGGGGAAAGTCTGGAGGAAGAGTGTGGGAAAAGAGTGGAAACAAACTGGAAAGGACTGGAGGTACAGACCAGTGGGGAGGCCCATGGTGGGGGGGCCCAGGCAAGGGCAAGGTCAGGAAGATCATCATGCTGGAGATCGGAGCAAAAGTCAAGAACTGGGGGCAGGTTACCAGCCCCAGGGGTACCTTATCATCTCCATAGCAGAAGTCACAGAATTAGAGGCAAGAAAACTCTATGTCAGGGATTACTGCCCAGAAACTTAGTGAATTCAAATAACGCATTCGTTGGCACATTCAGGGGGCTGAACCCTCAACAGACATTATCTAAACTAATCTTTAAGCAGATGAACAAAGGCAGTATATTGGGTTTAGCTCTGGACACAATATTGAAGAGTTATAGTTTCCCTGGATCTCAAGATCCCTCCCGTCTTTCTTAGACTTTGCCCAAAAGGGAAAAAAAAAAGGCACAAGTTGAAGTCAAGATACTCACATCTAGATGAAGGCCTGATAAAAATTCAAGGAAGGGCCTAAGGTAATACATCGCTTCACGTGACTCTCCACACCTGGCATACTCTAGCCATACCGGAGAGTTGCTGAGATTCCTTGCTTTTTTAAAAAGAAAGATAAAACTTAATTTTCCTTCTCCAAACCACTTGGAATTTGAAACGCTAAAACCTTCTAATTCTGTTGGCTCAATATCTGTCAGTTGGCCAGTTAATATCATTTTGGTTTTTGAACCCAAACTGTCCTCGGCCTGTGTAAAGAAGGCAGGGCCTGAGGCAGGCACCAATTCACAAACCTAGGACGCCAGACTGGAAAACCCATCCGTCTCATTAATAAGAATGCTGTGAGATTTAATTATCGATAAATGTGGTGTTGAATATTTAACAGTCTTCCTAGCTATATCTAGAGGTAATTCCGAATTCAGAAAAGTGTTATTTTTATTTCAGACTAGAAGGACTATTCAGTTTGTCTTTTAACCAACCAGAACACACAGAATCTTGGCCCATACCAAGATCCAAACACGGGCTTGTTCAGGACAGCTGGGAAGAGCTGGGCTGTGCTTTTTGTCTTTGCGGTAGACAGCTCTCTCAGGAAAATACAGCCATGTTAGCTTTCTCCCTCATTCTTACACAAATTAGCAAATTAAACTCGAGGAGCTCTTCTTGTTACTCAGCATAATTTACTTAGGAAAAGACTTATTACGACTAACGTTTATTCACTTCTGAGGCCATGTAGGGTGGTCTGCAACTGTAAGTGAGTTTCTGAGAGGGGCTTTCCAACACCGAGGAATTTCAGTGCATACAGTTCATCTTCAATGTGCCTAAAATAAGACTGCAGTCCTGCGATCCTTAAAAGTGATCAAGGTAAACACAGAAAGGGCGTGATTATTTGGTCAACCAAGCCCAATTTTGGAGGAGAATGTCTAGAGCCCATGTGTTCTGTCGTAAAGTTCATGAAGGCGGCAAGTCAAGGGCTAGGGCATCTCTTAAGAGAGAATGCCCTTTTATCTCAGATCTCAGGTACGGACTTTCAGTGCTTCTTCTTAAGACCTTGTGAATTCCATTTGAAGTGAATGAGAGGATGACATTCCTTTCTGTAGTGAAAATGCTAGTCAGGTCACCCGGTACAGAATGGTTCTGTGTTTGTCCAGAAAAGGCTGCTCACAGATTGTTTCTTTTCTTTCTTTTTTTTTTTTTTAACTCAATTAGCAGGATTAAATAGAGTTGTTGGCATCATGGAAAAACAAGCTCGATATTTACTTCTGTCATAATATTATCCTTACTCAAAATATTTCCTTTTTCATGTAGAACCAAGTCACAGAAGAAAAGATTTGAAGAAGAGTTGAATGAAAGAATGATTCAAGCCATTGATGGAATCAACGCACAAAAGTAAGTACATTTTTACCTTAAATTATTGTTCATCTCTTATTTCAAACCCCGTTATTTAAAAACACTGTCATGTTGCACTGCAGGCTCTCATTTACTTATCATAACAAAGCCAAGCTTTCGAGACAATTCATTTACTTCGCTTCAATTGTCCTTCATAGTAGCTAGTATTAATAGTATGTCTTTTTTATCTTTCCAATATTTGCTTAAATCCTGCCTAGAACATATTCCCCAAGTCAATGACTGATAAACAGTGCATTACAGTGATGCAATCATAGAGGGAAATATGACAGCATAACATGTCCAGCAAGTCGTACTTTTAAATATGAATGTGGATTCTGTGTGGGAATGTATTCGAATTGTTTTCATAACATAATCCATGAGAAATGCCTGGATTCCTCTGCAAAATTAAAGGATGCTGAGATAGCTGTGTTTTAAATTCTGGAAGAGCATTTGAATCTGAATTCATCATGAGCTGTGGGAGGAAGACTAACTCTTTGGAGGGCAAAATATCATTCAGCCTGTGAAGCCAAGAACTGCTGTTTTATAGTTTTAAACGGTCCACGAGATGTAGGGAGAAACCGTGTACAGGTGTTGCTTGTCACAGTCTGGCACAGTGATGTCATCCGCTGGCCCTGCACATCCTCCCAGGTACATGTGCCATGCTGAACTCGGAGAGCAAGTGGCACAGGACCCGGCCTGGTGGTGGTGCTCCTCAGGCACTCAGAAGGTATTTGTTGGATTAAATTGTAGAGAAAGCACCAGTAGGACCAGCGGAAAGACTGCAGGGGAAGTTTTCCATCCTCATCAGAACCTCCCTAATTTTCATCATGAAAGTTGATGCTTAAGAAGAACTGATTTTCACCTAGAATGCTTCTTCTCTAATACTCAGTTGAAGTGGCTCAACTACGTCCTAGCTTTGCAAAATGCAAGCCCATTCTAAATGGCTCCTGTAGGTGTTTATCTTAGATTATTCACAAGGCTTATGACAGGATCGCATGGCTCTGTGTATGAGGGGTGTGCGAGTGCATCTGTGTCTGAAATGAAGAGTCTCTGTGAGGCAAGAGTCTCTGTGAGGCAAGAGTCTCTGTGAGGCAAAGTTCAGACATGCTAGCACGCTGATAAGCTCCTGCCTAGAGCCCTTGGGGTGGTCCAGTAGACCCATCCCAGAGTGCTCAGGGCACACCACAGTTCCCGAGCAGATGCTCTGCTTTTCCTGGCACCAGGTTTGGGGTGAAAAATAGCCTCAACTCTGCCCCATCTGGAACCTCAGCACATCACAAGCAGAGGGGCTATGGGTGCCTGGAATATCGGTATCCAAACCCAGGCAAGAGTGGTTTCGCAGAATGTCGATGGAAGGATATGTTCACTCAACCAGTGGAAATAGCAGCAAATGCTGTGTGACCCACCAGAATAAAACACAAGAGCAGTAGAAAGAGGAAATTAGGTTTTTTTTGACAAAGTGTAGCAAATGATGACAGTAATATTAAATATATCATTTCTACAATCAGCTTCAGCCTGAGTTCATGCAGAACACTCACCTTTTTTCCCATACATGTTATTTTTCATTTTATGGTATCTCATTTGCACTTCATTGTCTATCTCTACAGTACATAATATGGTTTTTCAGAGTATGCATGTTGTATGTGACATTCAAACCAAGGTTATTACCACATACATCCTTTCCATGGAAGAAATAGATGTATGTCTATTGTTTCTTTCCTGAGCCCTTCCCACCCCTCTCTACATTCCATCCCCCACAATCTCTGGTATCTACACTTGTCCTTCCTACAATTATATCTTCAGATCTTTCAATTTATGCCATAGAATGCAAATATTTGGTATATATTGAATGGGGACATACAGTGTTTGTCTTTCACAGTCTGGCTTATTTTGCTTAGCATTAAATCTTCTATATTCATCCACTTGCTATTAAATAACAGGGTCTCATTTTTATTATAACCAAATAATATTTCATAGCATCCATGTGCCACATGTTTTTTTCAAACCATTCATCAGTTCTTGGGCACTTATGTTGATTCATGTCTTAGCAGTTGTGAATAAGGCTACAATAACATGAATGTGCAGGTGTCTTTCCAACTGAGTAGTTTCCTATTCTTAAGGTAAATACCAAAGAGTGGGATTATGGTATCTTAAGGAAGTTCTATTTGTAGGTTTTTGACGAGCCTCCCTATTGTTTTCCACAGTGGCTGTCGATTTATATTCTTGGCAGCTGTGTAGGAGGGCTCCCTTCTCACCATGCCTTGCCAGCATTTGTCTTATTTGCTTGATCAAAGTCATTGATACTGTGGTTAAATGGTATCTCATTTTGGTTTAGATTCGTATCTTATGATAAAAGATGTCAAGCATTTTATCATGTATATTTTGGATATTCACACATCTTCTTTAGAGAATTGTCTGTTCAACTCATTTGCTCATTTTTAAATTGGATTGTTTATTTTTATTGTGGGAGAGCTTCTTGAGTTCCCTAATATTCTGGTTATCAATCCCTTACCTGAAGCATAGCTTGGAAATATTTTCTTCTATTCAGAGTATTGCCTCTTCACTCTAATTATTGTTTCCTTTGCTATGCAAAAGTGTTTTAACTTGATTTAATCACATTTGTCAATTTTTAAATTTTATCTCCACACTTAAATTATCCGGGAGCATTTTTTAGGGTTTTCTTTCACAATAAAGGCAGGAGTTGTTTTTAATAAGTTCCCTCCAAATGTTACTCATTTGATAAGTACATAGTTCTAAAAGTGGGCATGGTTGCAATTTATACTATTTTATTTTATGATTCTTTTCATGTTAACCAACCTCAGACACCCCCCTCCCCTGAGCTAATCTATAGAAGAGGGCATTAATGTAGTTCTGCAGCTGGTATAGTGATACAAACATCAAAAAATTCATCCTTGTTCCTGAATCAAAAAGTATTTTTAGGCCAGCCACAGTGGTGTCAGCTGCCAAGATGCCGTGTTCTGCAGCCTGGGACCACACAGCAGCACCTGCAGTCCCAGTAACACGGGAAGGCTAAGGCAGGGGGTCACAATATAGTGAGACCTGTCTTTAAAAAAATACCAAGTAAACCATATTAATGGATCTCACTTCTAACAGAATCATTTAGAATACATTGCTGACTTCTCACTAAGCAAGTTAAAAGTGCAAAAGTCGATAATCAGATCTTCTGAGATATTCAGACTAATGGTGATGATAGTGAAAGTCCTCAGAACTGAAGAGAAACAGCCGAATGGGAGAGCATAGTGTTAGTGCAATGCACTGTGATGCCAGAGCCATAGGGCAAAGTCCTGGGTTTGCATCCTGTGCCCGCAATCCTAATTAGCCATCTTGACCTGAGGCTTACAGAGTGGAGAACCAGTTAGGGGTGCCCCCAGCCCTACTCCCTCTTTTGTAGAAGAAAGAAACTTAAAAACAAACAAGAAAACAAACAAACAGACTGCCTGGGAGGTTCCACAGAGACCTGGAGATCTCTCTCCTCTGATATGCAGTCTCCAGGGTTAACCCTTAGCCATGTTTTATATCACTGTACATTTAGATGCCCTCATCTGGAATCAGAAGGGGCTGGACCTGTTAATCACTGATTGCATGAAACGGTCTCACTTGACCTTTTCTCTGAGTTCTCCAAGCCCTCATTTTCACTTCTCACATCTCAAGGAGACAAAATTCATTGAGCTAGGGTCGCTGGCTTGGAAATGTATCACATTAAAATATGCTTGTGGGGCTGGCCCTTAGTGCCGTGGTGGGCACCGTGCATAGGCAGCAGGTTCTCACATGGCTGACCAAGGTTCACATCTGACCCCTGTGACCTGAAAGACACACTGGGCACATGTATGCCCGAAATCCCAACAGGACGGAGAAGTGGAAGAAGAGGGAGAGTGACGTGATCACATCCATTAGGGAGCGCTATCTTCCTCTCTCTCCGTCTCTCAGAAGTGAGCATGTCTTCTAGCAATTAAATAAGCACACACATTGATATTTGTTTGAACATTTGTAACATTTTTCTGGAAAATTTTGTAAACTGTCATAAAATATTTTCTCTTGCTTATTTACTCTCTAGTCAGATATAACTATACATAGATAGAACTATAGGTAGAGATAGAGATGTAAATAAATATAGATACACAGTTATATACATGCATACATACAGAAATATGTGCATGCATATTGAGACTATTACTGTTTTTAATTGTAAAGGTATTTAGGAAAGTAAAAGTAAATTCAGTGTCTAATGACCCAAATCATCAGTAATGTATTTTGTTGATAAATATATGATGCATAGATTAGGATTCTTTTCTTACACTCCTATGCTGGTAAGTAAAGGAAGGTGTTTATTTCTGCTTCTCTTAACTGTGTTTCACAGAACCTGTGTTTGCCGCACGATGTAGGGTCAGCAAGGGCCTGGAGTGGCCGGTCACTCAGTAGTGTTTACAGAGTCCTACAGTGTGGTTCCTCCTCATGCTCTTCTCTGCTTACAACTGCATTCTTTTTTTTTTTTAATTCTAAAGAGAGATTTTTGTCATAGGATGCATGCACTTGCCAGATAGAAATCCGAGAAATCACCCCCCAGGGAGATGCCACGCCACAATCCCTTCTCCATTCTCCTCTTGGAATTTTGAATATGCATGCACATGTGCCCAATGTGAGTTTCAAGTCACTGGGTCCTGGGCTCAAGCCACAGTCAACTGTGTGGGAGTCTAGCAATGTAACCATTGTACTATCTGCTTGTCCTATACAACTGCATTCTTAAAAGAGACTTTTGAATGTCAACTAGTGTGGAAAATGCATTTTCCATATCATTTTTATTTATTTTTTGACATCTGAGAGAGGCATGTGCATTTGTGCATGTGTTTTTGTATTTGTAGCAACATATTCTGAACCGATGGTTTATTGTACATGAGCAATATATAATCTAGCAATATTTTTGGAAACCAGACCCAAACACAATTGTTACCTTCTAGAAATGAAAACAATCACAATGAAAGCATTTTCTGTAAGTGCAAAAGAAGCACAGTCTCCTCACGCAGAGCTAGAAGGCATTCCAACGATTTGGGTGCTCTGTGTGCAAGGGACTGCTTGCAATCAGCTAAGAAAAATGTGCTTCTCTAGAAACCAGATCCTTTAGGAAATGGAACTATAATACCATGTGATTTCAGCACATCATCAAGCAGTTTACTGACCTACTTGAATCTTTCTGATGACTGAGCTCCCTGCTTGTTTATCTTGTGAGTTTCAGCTTGATAAGCTGGTTTGTAAGACAGGGCTTTCCAAGAGAGCCCATGTGAGAATAGGAATTTTATATTTTCACACCCTGTAACACTCTCAGATCCCCTGTCTGCTTAGCTGGCATTATACTTTGTTATTCAGTTTGGGATGACTTAGAATTGTAAAACATTGCAAGAGTGTAATTCATTAAAAAAAAATTGAAAAGTAGTTCCAGATGTTTCGTTGGAGGTTCAGTTAATGATGTGTCTGTCTTTTTTTATTTCTAGGCAATGGCTCAAGTCTGAAGACATTCAGAGGATCTCACTGCTTTTCTATAACAAAATACTAGAAAAAGAAGTAAGTTCTTTTTTCCTCGAAAATCAGCTGGTTTTTCTGGATTTGGTAGCTTTGAAGTCCCCAAGAAATTGTGCTCCTGTGACATTTGATCTGCCTCTAACTGCCCAGAGCCCTCTCCGGCTTTTCCATGTGTCCTCCATGACGGCCTTATTCCAACATCAGTCTCATCGCCAAGTTTCTGTCTTTGACCAGTCGCCGTCCTCAGCACTCCTGGTGTAAAAGAGGCCACCGTGTGTCTGAGAAATGGGGGAAAGAGAGGGACAGAGCTAAGAGCTGGCATTTTCCTTGTGACATTTTCTCAGAACATGCTTTGAAAGAAAACAAAATTCTTCCTGATAAACTTGTCTTTACATTTTAACAACAGTATGAGTTTTCTTTTCAACACCTGTTTAAGAGAATTGAAAACTCAAACTTTCAAGTTTTGTTTCATCGAAACACTTTCACATTCGGAATCCCAGAGGAAGCGCTATTTCAGACACAAATAAGTAGCCAGATGCTGTGTTTTTACATGGCAAGCTTAACGTAGACCTTTAAAGATGAATAAAGTAGTTACTGCAGGAATAACTATCTTTCTAGGCCAACTTCATTTCATCTGCCTTTTGTTTTGTGTTGCTCTAGAGAAGGAAGAAGACTTGGAGGGGATTTCCACGCTCTCACTCTATGTACAATGGCTATAGTTGTCACTTGAACTAGTTATTTTATTAATGGCTGCATTCACAGCCCTGCTATTAACCCTCTGTTGAGAAAATTAAGTTCATTGTTTTACGGATATTGAATGGGAATATCTAATATCGAAATTGCTTTAGAAATTCATCAGGGATGGATTTTAGTTACAGCAATACTTTGTCTTGTACTGGTGGCCAAGCAGATCAAGTGTTGACTTCTAAATAGGGGACTTTAACTACAGACAGTTCACGAAATTGATACTTGGTATAACATGTTATTATTGACAACCTTATCCCTGAATACATTTGACAAATACTAATGGCTACTTACTGCGTAACTGTCACTCAATCCATTTCCTTTGTTAATCCCACAGTGAAACTCTAGCTCCTACCTCTGCACAGAGCTCTGAAGACTTTAAGAAAAACAAGGACGTATTTGCACAAAATGCAATCACATTCCAGCCAGTATGCTCAGATAGCTTCTTCATCAGCATGTTAATTAGTCTGGGTATTAAGTCACAAAATTCGCACATGCACACACACACACAAACGCTAGTAAAGATGATCATCATTGAACATGCAGTTTTACTTAGCCCCCATGCTCCATATCTGCAAAGGTCGCTTTAAGGACAGCTTTAGAGAACACTGAGATGTAAGTCACGTCTCATCCACCAGCCCCCTCTTACAACAGGAGGAAGGGTGGAAAACAGCAGGACATCTCGTCAACAGACTAACCCGAGGGACACTAGGTTCTCCCATAACCTATGCAAATATAGCTAGTGCATCCCAGCAGTATTTTCAGAAGGTTCCAGTGGCATTGTCAAAAAATTTATTTTTTAAATAGTATTATAAAACAAATTAAAACCCAAAAACAAAAACACCTTATCTCGAAAGGCAGTGTAGCCTTGTGGTTGGGAGTGTGGATTTGGAGCCCGTGGGTCTGGGTGAAGGTCCTTGTTTCCCCATAGGCTGTGTCTCCATGAGATTATTGATCAATCATTCTGTCCCACAGTTCCTTCATCCAGAAATAGGGACCACAGTATTGTAATTGCTGCTTTGCAGGGTCGTCGTGAGGATGGGGTGAGTGAGTTCAGGTAGAGCATTTGGAAGGCTGGCACCCCATAAGGGCAACATATAGCAGAGGTCCTAAGACTGTTGTGGGTCAGCGTTGTCTGGCTTTCTATTCAAGCAGGGGCTGTCTCAGGAAGGCAGAAAACTCTCATCACCTGACAGTTCTGGGTGATCTAGAGAACCAGGTGGGCCCCTGAGACTGTACTGGGCAAGAGGAAGGAAGGAAGAGCCTATCACAAGCTGATGGAGAACAAAACCATAGGCCCTTTCTTCCTAAGGAGCATTAAAATAAATGAAAAAGTAAATAAATGAATAGGCCTTGCATTCCCTCAACATTTTTCAAAAGGGAAATGTTATTCTGTGACCAGTCACTTCCTGGTAGTGTCAGTCATCAGACCCATGGGGAGCCAGGGCACCTGCAGCACCCATGGTTGCTTTTGGTCACTTATCAGCTTTCTGGCCAGGTGCCTTTTCCTTACCGGAGTGGCACAATTGCTTGTAAACAGGTTTCTGAGAGCTGCACTCATCAGCTGGGGGCTCTGAGAGTCGATCTCTCATGGTTCATTGGGAGGAAGCACTGCTGCTGCAACCTAACACTTACGAGTGCAATGCATGCCTTAGGAACAAGGAGGCTGCTGGGCAGCCATATGCAGTGCTGCCTTCGAGCGCTCTCACTCATGGTGTCCTTCTCTCCTTTAGTACCGAGCCACTGCACTGCCAGCATTCAAGTACTACGTGACTTGCGCGTGTCTCATATTCTTCTGCATCTTCATCGTGCAGATCCTCGTCCTGCCAAAGTAAGTGCATGTGGTTTGAGCCCTGTTACACTGAAGGGGATGAAGGAGGCTGATTTCTAGACAGAGGGGTGCGTCTCTGCTGGATTATTCCTATCAAGAGAGGAGCATCTGATCCCTGTCAGGATCACCTATAAACAATAAACAAACTGAGAGTGGGGGAAGAGGAAAGGACCAGTCTGAAATCAGCCTCTTCCTTATAATAACAATACACTTGATTCAAGTGCCAAAGTAAAAAATGATCACTAAAAAGTGCCATTATTTTTTTTTGCTTCATGACAGGGAAGAGTCAGGTCTGCTTTTCAGTAAGTACATAAATTAATTATGCGGGTGTGTTAAAAAGAAACAGCTTTGCAACCAGAATGTTAATTAAAATTGATTAAGTTACACAAACATCTGGGTATGCTTAATGGACCTGAACATGCTTCTGATAGAACAGGCAGGATGAATGGTGATAATTAAGAACGTTTGGCCAACCATTACTGAGCCTCATGGTATTTCTTGTTCCCTTGTGTCTTAGTCCTTTCAGGCTGCTATAACAAAGTACTGTAGACTGTGTGGCTCATAAACAGAAGAAATTTATTTCTTGCCATTCTGGGGGTAAGAAGTCTGAGACCAGGGGTCAATGTGGCTGGGGTCTGCTGAGGGCAAACATCTTCTCCTTGTATATGCACATGGTGGAAAGAGATAGGTAGCTCCCTGGCCAATTCTTAAAAGGGTACCAATCCCAGGGCCAGCAGTTGGCATAATGGCTGGCACTGGACTCCCATGTAGTCGACCACATTTTGAGTCCCAGACCCAGTGGCTTAAACTCATGCCGGGCACATGTGCTTGCGTGCCCAAGATCCTGAGAGGAGAATGGAGGAGAAGGGATTGTGACATGGCCATCCTCCCTGGGGGGTGATTTCTTGCTTTCTGTCTCTCTGTCTCTCTCTGTCTTTCTGGCGAGAGTATGTAGCCTATAGTAAAAACCTCTCAAAAAAAATATATATATATATCACCAGCTCTTCTGGTATACTCCCATTGTATCCAGCAAATTATTATAAAACAGCAGTAGTAAAATTTTAATACCCTTTTTACTTTGACAGGCTCTATCTGACCTGACTTAAGAATGTTTAGGTCTCTACGAATTGTCTTCCTAATGAAATAATTGTTAAAAAAAAAATAAAACATTAAATACATTTATTAAAACAAGGGCCCATAAATGCCATTGAAGTATAATAATCCATTATGTAAATTCCAATTCAAAAAAAGTATGTAATTTGCAATTAGATTAAACCAATAGTTATTATTACATATGTTGATATGTATATAATTAAAGGCCAATATAATTCCATAATCACTTACCCATTCATAGAAAAGGTCAAAAACGTCATAACCCAAGGACTATGTAGATATGTGTTCAGTACTCCTAATACTAAGTAACTTAATTAAAAACAAGCTTTACCTTTTTTTTCCAAAGGAAATGTATAGGAATTTGAAAGTAATGACTATCACTTTCCCTGTGTTTTTATTCAATGAGGTCACAGTTCTCAGAAAAAAAAAAATATTATCTAAGTAGTAAATTGGAATTCAACAAAGAAAACATAAATTTCCCCAGGTATTTTAACAAGGTAATTTAATAAAGAGAAGTTTTTACAGAATGAAGAAAAACCTGAGAAACCAAATGGGATGGAATAGAGCCAAGAGAGTGATGAGAGGAGGAAGTGGCAATGACTGCTAGGTTTGTAAGAAAATAAAATTTAGGTGGTATTCCAGAGACCCATGTCTTTGACCTTCCTGCACATGCTGGAACCATGACAACACTCCTTAGTCAGAGCTGAGACTGAGACAGGTGTGTTGTCCTACAGGGATCTGGACCGTGAGAGAAGACAGAAGTTGCAGCCCATCCAGAAAATGGCTGCAAAGTAGAGTCAAGAAGAAAAAACACCCAACCTTTTCCTTTCCTCTGCTCATCAGCCTCGACCAGTATTTCTCATTGGTCAAACCTAGACAGAAACAGTTTGCAAAACAATCTAGGAGATGGAGTTGTAGATATGAATGAAAATAGGTTTGAAAGAAAACCAGCACACTTACAAGTTTAAATTTTAAAAGAAATTATCAGCATACTTATAACAAATTTTCCCAAATTCATTGAAATAATTCAGTTTCAAAAGGCAAGAACCTCTATGAATAGCAAACAGGATAAATGTAAAGAAAAGAGCATATAACATATCATCATCAAACATTTGGAAACCAAAGAACTTTAGAAAAAAAGAAGTAGGGCCAACCAGAGCTGTGGAGTTTAAGGCAGCTGGATCCTACATGGCCAACTGCACAATCTGAGTCCCAGACCCAGTGGCTTGAAAAACATGACAAGTGCGTGTGTATGCATGCCCAAAATCTTGAGAGAAGAATGAAGGAGAAGAGGTCATAAAGTGGCCATACCCCTCAAGGGGCAATTTCTCACTTTCCATCTCTTTCTCTCTCTCCCCTCTCTCTGTCTCTGGAAAGCGCATGCACCCTACAAGTAAATGCAGCCAAAGGAAACAAGACATTATATTGGGTTGTTGGAAAATTCATGACACATTTTTGCATAGAAAAATATGTCATGGAAGGGATCAGCAGTAGGGATCACAGCTAGTTCCTCCTCAGACACAATGGGTGGCAGAACACAACTGAGCACCGTTAAGCTGCTGATGTAAACATAACCAACCCTGAATTTAAATACTCAGCACAAATTCTCACTTTTTAGGTTGAGGTAAAAAAACATTCTGTGAGTAAAAAAAGTTGAGGGAAATCAGCAGCAGACCTACAGTACAAGCAGGTAGGCAGAAAGTAAAGCATAGAGAATACATGACTTGACAGTGGGCACAGGAAAGTACTGCATGTATGTGAACATCAGGAAAGTGGAAATGAAGGCAAGAAATGTTCACAGAAATAAAGAAAAATGTCGAATAATGATGAAAGGATCAATTCATCAGAAAGCATAAAATTATAAAATCTGTTTACACCTAGCAACAGAGGTATAAAATACTTGAAAGAGAAAAATTTACCAAATTGAAGAATTAAACAAATCTCTATTAATTATATATTTAACATCCATTTATTATTTATACTATATAAAGATCTGAATAAGACTATAGCCCTTTTAGAATTACTTGATGTTTCTTAGAACATCAAATTCAGTTACAAAATACATGTTATAATCTAGATTAGGCCACAAAAGCATCTCAACATATTTAAAAAGATTGAAATAAATTTGAAAATCTCAAGAGCCTATAGTCTAATACCTAAGCATACCAAAATCAGAAATCATTAACAATAGAATATTCAAACTATCTCCAGATATTTCAGTGTTAAATTATACACTATTAAATAACTCATGAGTCAAATAAGAAATCATAAGAAAACTTTTAAAATATCAGAATATCAAAATGCATCTGAATATGCAGGGTCTAACTAAAGCAATAATAGAGAAAAGAATCTGTAGCTTTAAAATGCTTGTGTGGTCGTGCACCACATAACAACACTTCAGTGGATGAGACCACAGGTACGATGGTGGTCCTGTGAGATTGTAATGATGTTGGAAGACTCCCACCCCCTCCCATCACATCATAGCCATCAAAGTGTTGGCGCAGTGCCTTACTGTGTGTGAAGTGGTGCTGATGCAAACACACCTGTGCATGGAAAAGTAGAACACATATGATTATGAACAGTAGATAGTATTTATTTTCAATGTTGTAAAGATATACAGTAATTGAATGTAAAAAATAAGAAAAAAGGAAAATATTGTTTTAAAAGAAGAGAATAAATACCAAAGATAAAAGAAGTTAATAAAATTAAAAACAAGCAGTAGAGAAAATTAATTGTGCCAAAAGCTATTCTTGGAAAAAATATTTATTTATTTTTCTTTTTTTTTCAAGAGGTTTTATTTGCTAAAGGGCGCGTGTGCTCGCCAGACAGAGAGAGAGAAACAGAGAGACAGAAAGCGAGAAATCACTCCCCAGGGTGGGTGGCCACACCGCAATCCCTTCTCCTCCATTCTCCTCTCAGGATCTTGGGTACACACGCACACGCGCCCGGTTTAAGCCACAGGGTCCGGGATTTGAACCGTGGTCGACTACATGGGAGTTCCAGCGACAACCATTATGCTAACTGCTGGTCCTTTGAAAAAATACTTTAAAAATTTCTAAACCGCAAGCAAATCTCATCAAGAAAGAAAAAGATAATCACAAAGCACCCAAACCAATAATATAAAGGAAAAAAGGGGCGATTCATTATGGATCCTACAGACAGTTACAGGATAAATCTGTATTGTTATGTATTACTTGATGCCAAAAAGAGAATTACAATTTAGATAAAGTGAGGGAATTTTTGGAAAGACAACTTACCTAGACTGACACATAGTAGAAAATCTAAATGGGCCTGTGTCTATTAAGTTTATCGGATTTGTTAAGATTCTTCACACAAAGGAAACTTCACAGCCAGATGATTTCTGTGTGATGTCTACCAAGCATTTTAAGGAAATAGGATGACAGGAACCAATTTCACAATTTCATAACTGAATAGGTTAAAACAAATGTTCTTCATTTGAAAGAAGCTGTTAGGTCATCAGGAAAGTCATGATATATTTTTCTGTGATTTTCTTATGCAAATATGCATCATGACTTTCCAGCAACCCAATATTTTAGTTCATTTTTCAGAGTTATCATAGAATACCTGAGTCTGAGTAATTTATAAAGAAAAGAAATGTATTTATACAGCTCTGATGGGGAGTCCAAGGGCAACACCATTTGCTTAGTGTCTGCTCGGTCCTTCTTACCATATCATTCCATGTTGAATGGTCAAGCAAGCATATGTCCGAGATCAAGAAAGGGCTACTTTTAATGGGACTCTCACCAAGTGCCATTAATTCATTAATGCATAGATTAATCCATTAATGAAAGTTCTGCCATCATGACCTAAGGTATCTTTTTGGCTCCTCCTCTTCATACTGTTACAGTAGGAATTACATGTTGATCTGAATTTAGGAGACAAATGCTAAAACCGTAGCAGAGACTAAAGAATTGAGGCTACAAACCAAAGGCCACATCTATGCTACATATAGGAAATCTAGCCAAAATAAAAAGACAGAGAAACTTTGCAAATATAGGAGGAAGACGCTTCCATGATTTAATTTTTTGGCAATATGCAACTTGAATAAAAGGCATCCAGCAACAATCTTTATTATGGTCCCATTACCATGAAAATTTAGAAAATTTAGCAATCATAAACTCGTATGCACTCTGGCATCTCTTTGAAATAAATACAACTCAAATTATAAAAATGTGCTGATTTATTGACAAAGCCACAGTCCTAGTTGGAAATATTAATATACACTAACATCGACATACCGAATAAGTCAGCCCTTTGAGGACTCATCAGACTTTATCAATAGATGTATTTAAAGAACATACTTTGTTACCAGCAAAAAGAGAATACACATCATTTTCAAAAATTCGTAAGACATAGTACGAAGAGAGCATGTTTATCATACGTTCTCCTAAAATTGTCAGAGTATTAGTAAAAGATCTCTGATTCTATCTAATGAAATTAGAAATAGGAAAGACCACTAAAACTAATCTCCTTGAGAAATTTAAAAATCAGACTTCTGAATTACTCTGTGTTAGAAGGAAATGGAAGTTGAAATTATATGCTTTTTAGAGAAGAATGACAATAACCACTTATGAATCAAAAGCTATGAGATTTAGTTAAAGCAGTAATTATTGGAATATTTATATCCTTAAATGCATTTATTAGAGAATACAAAAACTGGCAATAAATGACCATCAAAAAAATAATGTAAGTTTAAATGAAGAAGAAAAAGTAATTTTTGAAAGTTAAATTGGGAGCTAGTAAGATAGAAGATGAACCAGAAAGCATCAGCCTTAATAATAAACCAAATTCATTCTTTGAGATCAACAAAACACACAAAACTTCAAGTCTGATCTAGAAGAAAAAAAGAGCAAATTGTTATTAAGCACAAAAAGAAATTATTTCAAATCTGGAGAGCTTTAGAATTGTAAGAGAATACTGTTTTACATAGAGTATCTTACATTTGAAAATATAAATACAATTTATATTTTTTCTAGAAAATTATCAAATTTGACTCAAAAATATAATTAGTAACTATTGGAGAAAATGCTTCATGTTGTCTTTTAAAAGAAGAACCTAGGTCAAGAACTCAATTGTGTAGACATACGTGCTGACTACATCACTTAGTAGAACTCCAGTCGAGTTTTTCAACTTCTCCGGGCCTCAGTTTCTGTTTAGTTAAATGAAGTAATAATGGGACTATTATATAGGATTATTGTGAGGCTAAGTGAGCTCTCCATACAAAGTTCTCAGAACAGCACTCAAGACACAGTAACACCCCATAGCCACTAGTGCTTGCTGCTACCGTCTCTACCACCATCACCATGTCCATCGCCACCACCATCACTACCACATCACCACTCCCGTAACCACCAGCATTGTCATCATCACTACCACCATCACTATTCCCGTAACACCATTAGCACACCACTAGCACCATCACCATGTCCATCGGCATTGTCATCATCAGAGGTTTTGAGAGTTGAATTTTCTCAAACCTTCAAGAAGAAATCATATAATGATGAAAAAGCTATTTGATGATGATGATGTGGTTAGTAATGTCTTTGTCTTGACTGATATGTATGGTAATCATCCTGGAAAATAGTAATACACTGTAAAGATACATGTTAGTCAATGTAATATTAAAAAGATAGTGATAGTAATAAGAAAATTAAATTTAAAAAAAAAAGAAATCATTCATTTGTTATTTAAGGAGCTGCAGACCTAAGAAAATGATGTGAGTTTCTGAACTCAGCCTCATGACATTGCCATTACCCTTACTCCAGGAAGGAACTAGGAGAGCATAGGGTCAAAGGGAACCTGACAGAGCGCTCGTGAAAATGAAGATAACAGACCAAAGCTCAAGAGTTGAATCACTGTTCTCCTGTGGTCATAGGAGTAGCAAGAATCCACCATTATTCTAAGGAGTATCCCTTCCTCTGTCTTCCTAGGTAGGAAACCGCGAGAACAAAACCAGTAGTGAGCCAGGACCGAAGCCAAGTTCCCATTCTCACCACTCTAAAACCAATACTCAAGAGACAAGTTTTGGTGGAAAGGAAAGGTAGCTTTATTTAGGAGGCCAACAACCTGGGAAGATGGCAGGCTATTGTCCAAAGACCATCTCTGAAGTCCCAGTCTAAATCGAAGGTTATTAAAGGGGAAGGTAAAGGGGAAACAGTGGGAGAGTCATGTGTTGTTTTGCAAGTAATTAATGTCTTGATCACGCAAAACCATGCTGGCTTTGGAGTTGTTATTTTCCAGTTGCAGTCATCATGCCCTCACGACCAGTGTGTTTCTTTCTCTGAATTCCTACTGCCCCAGGGGCACCTGCCGCATTGGTAGCTATCTCAAATCCTGGTCTCTACAAAGTCTCAGCAATACAATGATTAGTTCCTCTTGTAACCCAGCTGTTAGAGTTTGTGTTGAGAGGACAAGAACCAGGCAAAGAAGTTGTAGCCAGTGCCTCTGGGTAGATTCCACCCAGGGAATAGAGATTGAAGTACTGTATGACTGCATGGCATTCCCTTTTGAAAAAGCAATGTAGAGAACCAGCAGTTAGCGTAATGGCTGTGTCGCTGGACTCCCACGTAGTCGACCGCGGTTCGCGTCCCGGACCCGTTGGCTTAGAACTCACGCTGGGCACGTGTGCGTGCGTGCCCAAGATCCCGAGAGGAGAAGGGATTGCAGCGTGACCATCCTCCCGGGGAGTGATTTCTCGCTTTCTGTCTCTATGTCTCTCTCTGTCTGGTGAGCGCACGCACCCTATAGCAAAAAAACCTCTCAAAAAAAAAAAAAAAAGCAATGTAATATACTGTAAAGCTATATGCAATCCAATGTAATATAAACAAGATTATGATGATAATAAAAAAATAAAAAAAATTTAAAAGGGGCTAAGGAAACACACAGTGTTTATTTTACTATATTATGAGCAGCTCAAAACGATTTTATCTTACTTGCCTTTGTAAAAATAGCAGCCTATCATGCACCTGGTCCATGAAACTAGTCAATGATATAGGTGTATTTGGGGTATGTATACCCTCTGCTCGACTCTCAGCATTACTTTTCAAATAGGAACAAATGTGATTATCAGGCCCGGTGTTTGAAAGCACTGGAAATCATATGTGGGACAAGACTCAGTGCCCAGTACCTCACTGGGTCAGGCTCAAGAACTAGTTCAACTCAAGGTTTTTTTGGTTTTTTTTTTGGAGAGGTTTTTTCGCTATAGGGCGCGTGCGCTCGCCAGACAGACAGAGAGAGACATAGAGACAGAAAGCGAGAAATCACCCCCCAGGGGGGATGGTCACGCCGCAATCCCTTCTCCTCCATTCTCCTCTCGGGATCTTGGGCACGCACGCACACGTGCCCGGCGTGAGTTTTAAGCCACCGGGTCCGGGATGCGAACTGCGGTCGACTACGTGGGCGTCCAGCGACATAGCCATTACGCTAACTGCTGGTTCCCTCAACTCAAGGTTTTATAAGTCTTGCTCATTCGTAGTCATCTGTTGTAACAGACCAGGTGCCTGAGGTGGTGTGGTGAGTGAAGCCCTCCCACCAGGACAGCATTAGGGAATTTACTCACCCCATTCATTGCATATTTTGTTTCCTGTCCTGAGACACACAGCTGTGGTCTGTGGGGTGACATCAGCTTCTCGCTGAGCGGCATCTGGTTCTTCCGTTTCACATATCATCATTTCAGGGTGTTGCTTCTCTTCCCAGTGCCAGATCTTCTGTTAATTTACTACATCTAGCCAAGCTCATGGGCACAAGTTTCCACTGCTGTCTCAGACACCATCTGACCTCTCCTAGAAGTTCCATCTCAATTTCATCTTTGATTATGTACTGTGCATCAGCTCTTTAAAGACGCGTGAACACTTCCATCTTGAATTAAAAGAAGTTGTAAAAGGGTTCACATTATTTAAGTGTTTAAAGGACCTATCAGAAATGCATACATTTTTTACAAATACACCTGTAACCCATACAGGCGATAGCTCCTGACTGCAGGATGCTGTAGTGTTCATTGGTGGGTAAAAGCCTCACCCTGTGAAATCTCAGACGCCTTGGGACACCTAAGCATTTAGCTGCATCTGTGTCAAGCAAAGTGGAGTCTGGCTGGCGAGACTGAGCGGGCCTTTCCTCAGCCACCAGGAGGGAGGGCACAGCATGAGGTCTTCCGGCCTCCAAGGAGGTGAGGCTGCCTTGGAGGAAAAGGCCACCAAGATGGGGGACACAGACTAATGTGGACTGAAAGTGTCCTATGGGACCACCATCTATAAGAAAAAGACTTTTTTCCTGTAAGGAACTGATGCTTACAGAGCAACTTTGATGGCTTGTAACGAGTTATCAGCCATGACTGTAGACACTTCTTTATGGAACTACATGTGATTTGTTTCAGCTCCATTTTGATTTCTTCATGAACTGGTGAGGATGGCAGCTCTCATTTTAAGTCCTGATTAAGCCAGAAGTATTGCTGCTGGCTCTAGGATGACAGGGATGATTCACGTTCACTCTAACCTGCACCTTCCTGTTTCCTGGTAGGACGTCCGTCCTGGGGATTTCCTTCGGAGCTGCGTTTCTCTCGCTGGCCTTTATCCTGTTTGTCTGCTTTGCTGGACAGCTTTTGGTAGGTACTACAGCATGGTAGAACCTTCTCTCACTTCAGGAATACTAATTTCTTGCATAAAACATTCAGAAAACTTGTCGATTTGCCATTGCAAGAGCTATTGGTTGCAGTAAAGAAACTTGCACCCTTCAGGAATATAAACCAAGCCCAGAATATGAATCGAGCCCAGGATATAAATCAAACCCAGGGTATGACCCACGCCCAGGGTATAAACCAAGCCCAGGGTATGAACTGAACCCAGGATATGAACCGAACCCAGGGTATGAACCGAACCCAGGGTATGAACCAAACCCAGGGTATAAACTGACCCCAAGATATGAACTGAGGTAGTTCAGGCACAACCAAGACACAAAGTTGTTGGAAGTCACACCTTACTTGTTTCTGTCAACATTTTTAGAGGTTTTAACCTCCCAGGTTTATTTTTAAAACAGCAACTAATTCCAGTAACAGAAATAAAATGTAAATGCTTTCAAAATATTTAGTTATAGAAAGGGGAGATATTCACATACCTATTTTTATGCAAATTTCAGCTCAGCTTATTTGAATATCAAACCCTTATCCACACCTTCAAGCATATTTTTTACCTTTTCCATTTATTTATTTGTTTTGCATTTAATCATTGTCTTCTTTACAGCATCACATGGGTCCTCAAAAACGTAAATGTCAAGCAAGTCAAAGATATTACCATGCACAATCACTCCATTCTGGTATTTGTTAAATTTTTTTTTTCTTTTTCCTGACTGTCAACATTTTTTATCCTCTCTGAGTTTATAGAATATTTGTTGCAGTGTATGCAAGTGTAATAGGAGTGTTTTTAGTATATAGGTGAATTCAAGTTTGTATCAAATACATTTTTTTACATCGACTTTTGAAATATCAAATTCTGAAATATCTGAAGATAGCAAATATTGGAAGACCTTTATTAGTGTTTTAATCTAAGGCAGTCACAGATCCTTGGTTTATGTAATAGTGCTGGATAGAAGAATGAAATCTGAGTTCATTCTTGACTCTGAAGCAAGTGCTGTTACTGCTCATAACTCTGTGAGAGCATTCTGAGAAACCACCCAGAGAGCACAGGTCCCTGAAGGTAAGGAGCACTTCATTTTGTTCACTGGGATGAGGTGAAGCAGAAGAGACCACTCTGAGCCAGGCTCCCAGCTGAGTTCATGAGCATTCTCAAGAGAAGCTGTAAAGACTTTATCTATTTATTTATTTTAGAGAGAGAGAGAGGGATTTCTGCCATAGCGTGCATGTGCTCCAGCGAGACAGAGAGATGGAAAGCAAGAAATCACCCCCCACGGGGGATGGCCACACTGCAATCCCTTCCCTCCCTTCTCCTCTCAGGATTTTGGGCATGCAGGTACATGTGCCTGGCATGAGTTTTAAGTCACTAGGCCAGGACTTGAACCACAGTTGACTACATGGGAGTCCAGTGACTTAACCATTACGCCATCTATTGGTTCCTAAAGATTTGTTTTAATTGAGATATTTTCCTGTGGTCCAGCTGTAGCAGTGTTCTCTGCTAACGCTGCCATGCAGTGGGTGGAGGCCATGCAGGAAGTCCAGCTTCAGATCCAGCCCAAAAAAGCCAGGCACACTTGCACTCTTTCTGTCCCAGGTTGGAAGACTAAAGCAGAAGGGTAATGGCATAGTAAGAGAGTATTTAAAAAACATGGTTCAGCTCTTGGCCCCGGCTGCTGTGCATGCCCAGCATGTGTGCATGTATGCCAGAAATCCTGGTGGGGTGGAGAAATGGAGAAGGAATAGCAGCATGACCACGCTCCTTTAGAAACTTGTCCCACTCCTCTCCTTTCTCTCTATCTCCCTGTTTCTGTCTCTCTCCTGAGTGTGCGTGACCTCTGGCAATTAAATATGAAAAAAAGGAATTATAATAGCTATTTATTATACAAAATAGATATGATAAACTAAAATTTTATCAATTAGATTATTGTATGTAATGACTGGGGTTATAGAAAATATCATAGATTTTTATTCTTTTTTTACTAGAGGGCATGTGGACTCTCTAGAGAGAGAGACTAAGATAAGAAGAGAGAAGGAGAGAGCAATCCCCCCACCACCACCACCATGGAGAAAGGTCACGCCATAATCTCTTCTGCTCCATTTTTTCTTCTTTTAAGATCTGGGGCATGCATACACACACACACACACACACACACACACACACATCATGTTTCTCAAGCCACTGGTTAGGGGACTCAAACTGCAAGATTGTCCATGTGGGATCCAGCATTATATACAAAGACTCGACTGTCCATGTTCTCAGGATCTTCCCCTTGGGTAGAAAGCACACAAGATCCACTCTCTCTACCTTGCCCCAGGAGGTTTTCCAGGTTTGCAGAAAAGGAGCCATCATTCATAGTTCCACTGGCAATCCCAGCCTCGCGCATTGAACAGCTTATCTCACAAGTGGATCACACGTTGAAAATCATACCAAGTATATGCTGTACATGCCCCAAATCCCGAAAGGAGAAGGGAATGTGGCGTGGTCAACCCCCTCCTGGGGAATTCTCACTTTCCCTCTGTTTCTGTGTGTCTCCAGCAAGTGCACACACCCTATGGCAAAAATCTTAAAAAAAGAAAAGTAGATATTTATTCAGTGGCATATTTTGAAAAACTGTCAGATATTTTTTTTTGCATTCTTTTTTATGTTGTCACTTATTTTATTTTATTTTACATTTAATCACTGTGCATCTCCACAGCAAATAAAATGAATGTTCCCAGCATGAATTCTATGACGCCGAGCCCCGTTTCCTCTTTGCCCTCACTGCTAGGAGCCTTGTCCCTGCCTCAGTGCCTCCCAGGAGTGCTGGGCTCTGTCCTCCCATGATGCCATTCACCTTTTATTTCTTCAGCCTGGGTGGGCCCAGCAGCTGGAGCCTTCCTGGGAACCTTCTTGAAATCCACACCAGCCCCTGAGGGTCCTTTCTCTGTGCCATGTAGTCCAGACCCAATTCCAGAGCGACTGGTTTAGACCTCTTATTTCTGCTGCTCCTCTAACACGTAGTAAGTTGTTTAAGACACAAAGAACACTTCGTGGTACTGTGGAAATGCTGCTGGACTTCTTGTTCAGCAAGGTCCCTTCTCATGTCCATGGTCCAGATGGCTTCATGTAGCTCCTCCCTCCTGTGTCGGATGCAGACTGCTCCCCATCACAGGAGGACTTGCCCCAAGAGGCAGCATCTGTCTTTCTGTCCTTGACTGTCTGTGGGGCCGGGTTCCATGTGTGAATAGCATGTGTGTATGTGCAAGGCAACCTTTAGCACATGGTGTTGAAATGACTCACCCGCTCACATGCAGTGGGATTCCTTATGCTTCATGCTCTGTCCTTGGTTGGAAATGATCTGGCCCCATTACCCAACTCTGAAAAGTCCACCTTCCCACCACCAGCTTTGCTAGATCTGTCTGGTTGAGCTTCCTATTTTGTATTATTACTTTTATCCTTTTAGAAGGGAAACCCTTCAGTGAATTCCCCTCTATTCACTGTAGTGCTTGGGACACAAGATGAGTGTGTGACCTCAGATCCTGCACCCACTACTCAGAACACATCCCACCCCTGCCCATCCTCTCCCAGGCTCCACTTCTGAATTCAGAACTCTGAACCCAGCTCACAGGTGCAGAGTCCCTGAGATACCCTGGGCCCTGGCCTCTCTACAGCAGGCCCATCATGGTGGAGACCTCACTGGTCAGGTCTCCTTAGATGCCTCAGCGTTGGTGCCTTCTGGAGGCACAAGTGGTTAGCTTTTCAGAATTGTAAAACTCAAGGGCAGAAAGAGATCCCACAGATAACCTTGTCTTACCCTTCATTGTGGGAGAGGGACCCAGTTCTCCAGAGGCTACAGAGGCCCATCCCTGTGACTTCCTTTCTCTGATCACTCAGAATAAAAGTCTCCACCAGAAAATATAACACAGAAGGAGTTGTAATCAGATCAGTGGAGGACAGAAACGCAAATCCCAGGACAGAATCATGAATGTGATAAGGTCAAGTCCTGCAAATGCTTCCCGTCCCTGGGTAAAAACCTTAGGCATCCATCCAAGCTCTTATGGCGGCCAAGATCCCCAAGAACAGTTCTGATTCCAGCTTCGTTGTGACTTATAATTAATAAATGTTATGTTAAAACTAGCACTTGCTGTGCTGGGTACTTAGCTTATTCTGGCTCGTTTATCCCTGTAAGAGCCATTGGAGGGAATGTCTGCTCTAGTCAGTGGACTGGAGTCTCGTGGGCACCACAAACTTTCCAGCTAGTAAGTGGTGGAGCCAGAATTAAAATCAAGCCTTGGAACCTTGTTCGAGGCAGGTTCCAGAGGGCTGGTCGGTATATAGACAGAGTCACCAGGAAGTGGGTGCCCAACACTCTTCAGAGAGGTCCATGTTCATGGACACGGGCCAGAGAGGCATAGAGGCCACCCTGGGTGACTGCTAAGCACCACTGAGCAAAAGCACATGGGTAAGTTACAGTAGCCTCCCATGGCACCTCATGCATATTCTCCTCCCCTCTTGTTTCCTAAGATACCCTACGTGCCTGTCCATGCAGTTTAATTCAAAGTGGATTCATGGGGACCAGGTGGTAGCATAGCAGTAACACAACTGGACCCCTGGGGAAGTGTCCTGGGTCGCATCCCAGACCTCCCTGAGCATGCCAGGCCTGTTCATGTGCCTGCGACCTGGCAGTGAATGGCAGCACGATGGCCCTTTGGGGGGTGCCTTTCTCTCTTGAAATAAACTTTAGGGCCAGGCTGTGGCACGGTGGTTAAGGCAGCTGGATCCCACATGGCGAACCTCATGGTTCGATTCTCGGGCCCAGCAACTGAGACACACGTGTGGCAAAATCCTGAAAGGACGGAGAAATGGAGAAAGGATTGTGGTATGACTATTCTCCATGGGGATGCTTTTACACTTTCCCTCTCCCTCTCTCTTACATAAATGCACATGATTTCTAGAAAAAAAAAAAAGCTAAATGAAGAATAAGACTTTAAAAAAC